CCTGACACAACGCACAAACAAGAGCCTCTGTTAAATCTCCCAGTGCTGCGATGGCCAGGATTGCAATTATGTTTCCATGTAGGTGTGGAATAACATAAATATATATAATAAATAATAAGGATTCATATAATGATTACTGGCTTCAAAATAAAATGGTTTAAAAACAAAAGCTATAACTCTACTGAATCATGCCAAAACTTTACAAAATGGCTCTGTTTGTGAAGCTTGAGTCATCTGTGTTTTTGAAAAACGGACTGAAGGATGTAAGGTGGCATTTATTTTCCAGTGGAGATGTAGCATTTTAAGTAAAACCCTTCAATTACTTAGCAGTGCTCATGGGCTACAAAGCGCTAACGCCTGGTTTTCCAGTCTTGTCTTGAAGAAGGTTGTTTTCTGTCCCGTAGAAAGTGATAATTGAGGTGTTTGGCTCATTTGTATTTGACAGTTGCAATATAAGGGATAACACTTTCCAATTCCAACCATCATACATCAGTCACTTGATACTTTTAGAGAGGCCCAACGTGCTCCAGTTCACTTTTCATATGTAAGATGGGACTTCGGGGAATTGAACTGAAAACATGTACAGTAGATGTAGCCAACATCTAATGTTTGTCTTACTGAGTCTTACTGGAGTAGAAAGAATAGGAGAATGTACCACTGTAGAGTTGAATTTCTATAACTTTGCTTTTTAAACTGAAATTTTTAAGCAAAGACAAGATTTTTAACACAAGTACTATTAAATATTATTTTTATTTTGTGGTTAGAAAAATTCACAGGGTGTTTTAATGGAAGAAAGAACACCTCAAGACAAAAAGTCTCTAAACTGTTTGTGTAGTTTTGATTTATATGAAAAAGCAGTAGCCATAAAGTCCTCAAGTGAACATTTTTTTGTTTGTATTGTGGTTGTTTTTATTTTAAGATGCTATTAAGGATAAAAAGGTGACACATGACACAACAATGCCACATTCATCACAGATACGGCATTAAAAGCAGCCCTTTGTTGTAACATCTTTTAGAGCTTTCAATACCCCACCATGATAGGAAACGTCTGGCGTATTTCAACCTGGTTTATTTAACATTAATAGCCTGTCTAATACGGCACAAAGTCTCATTCAAACTTTGCACTCTTCACCTGTGTTTGGGGAAATAAGGAAATCTGGTAACTGGAATGACTTTTGTGCCAACTGTATAAAGGATCTGCATGTTTCCAATTGAGTAATTGCTATCTACACTCACTACATATATGATGATGGCTGCCTGTAATGAGGGGTGGCAGTCAAATGGTATGCTACATTTCCCTAAGTATGTTAGTGGGGGAGCCAGGACTGCTCTTAGTCACTGATTCTGTTCATTATTTCTATGGATAGAATTTCTAAATGGGGACAAGGGCCAGAAAACTTCCACTTTGGTGGCCCTTGGTCTCATCTCTACTTTGTGTAAATCTTGTGGTTGTGCGGACTTCATCAGATGGTGGCCTCTAGCTTTCACTGGAGCAGTTTTCAGCAGCAGCAATGACAATTAGCACCTCCGAGTTTGAGGCAATGGTCGTCAGCCATTAAAGGGAAAAAACACTGACAGTGACAGTCTGGCGACCTGTCCAGGGTGTACCCTGCCTCCAGCCCTAGCTGGGATAGGCTCCAGCGCCCCCTGTGACCCTGAAAAGGATAAGCGGAAGTGAATGGATGAATGGACACTGACACTTGGGGTCAGGGACAGGTTTCTGCCCCAAATGGAGAAGTTTAAAATATCTCTGGGTTCACGGATGAGGGGAGAAGGGAGCAGGAGATTGATAGATGGATTTAGGCTTCACCAGTCCATCATGACAAAGAGACATCTGAGCACTTCATTATTTCTGTGACGTATATGATCATTGCAGAGGCCTTTGTATCACATGGACAAAATTTGAAACTGTTCTCTCCATATTTAGCAGGTTAGGGTTTTGTAATACAAATGCAAATAAAATGAGTGTAGCTCATTTGTGTTCCTTTGGCTTTACCTCAGCATCCAATGATTTTATACAAGACAGTGTAAGACAGGTGTACCAGGGAGTCCTCATCCTCAGAAAGGATGAAACTTGCATAAGTCGTCTTTGCCCTGCTGCCCATGTTACAGAGAATCAGGAATTTTGATTCGGACTGTGACGCTGTAAATGAAATGTAGCTTAATTCAAAGTTATTCATCGCAGAAACTTAACAGCACCCCTCATTCCTCCTTCCTCTCGTGTGTGTGTTTTACATGTGCACTCCTGTCACCCCTCAATATGTGCTCCCCTTTTTCTGCTTAAAGTATTTCATGATTTAGTAAAGTGTGCCTCATCATAATGCCCCATTTTCAAATGGCTTTTAATGGCTTATGTGGATCTGTGTGATGCCAGGATGTGTAGGAAAAATAAATTATGTCGGTTTCTCTAGAGGCTGTTACAGGATGCCACAAAGCCAATCCACCCACCAAACTAGCAGTTAAACATCGCCAGGACCCTGTGGAACATTAATGCTCCAGCCGTCATCAACGCCTTCAATCATTATTCCCCTTGTTTACGTCATTTTGCAGTTAATGCAGACTAAAAACAAACAGCGGTTATGTCTAAAAGTCTCAGAATTCATAGTTGGTTGACCACTTGAAGTCACAGAGGATAACAGCACAGGCTTGTTTCTGTGATGCTTTAAAAGCTGGCAGATCTGTCTCCAACTAAAGAGATTTACTGCATGTTTATGGGTTTGGTCCTTTTTTGTCTTTATCAGCTATTAAATCAGACTTCAAACACATACGTTGCCCGTGGAGAAGATGCAAAGTAGTACAGCACTCCTTTGTGTTGTAAATATTTGCAACTGAATGAGCTGAGTTGAGTTGCTGATAAAAACGTCTGTTATCTCGCAAATGTTTTTGATGGCATATCTTTTGTACCTATAAGCTGTTTGTTTTGGCAGGCATTAGACTGCGAGAACTCCTACACCACACATCTTCAAACCTAATTAGACTGACGTAATGAGACGAATGCTGCTTCGCACATGTCTCTCAACATGCAAACTTCTAAACGTGCGTCTGGAAGAATCAAACAAAGTTAACGCCAGAGCACACATGTTCGTCTTTGAGCGCAACATGTGGGGAAAGAATATGGAAACCGAAATGTGTGGGGGTTTGTTGTGTGTGGGTGGTTATAAGTTGTGTCAGGCAGATGGAGAAGCTCCGTCTGTGAATTTGTGTCCCATGCAGCCTCCCATTGGTACAACCAGTATAAACATCATATTTGGGAGACAAGGTGGCTGCTAAGTGGTTGCTGTACTTCAGCAATGGCTTTTGAGGTGCTGTTTGAGCCTTTGAGTGGACATCACAGCTTCTTATTATTCAGTATACTTACTGCTTTTGGCGCAAATGATCTCTTTTTAAATCCTTTTTGCCAGCTAGTGGCATCCTACAACGTCGTCCTGAGGGCATTAGTTCAAAGTCAGAGTAAAGAGAGTGTTCTCTGTCTCACCAATAGATGGTGCTTTCCTTAAGACAAACTGATGATCCAGCTTGTCTAGTGAAGTTTAGATCACCATTCATTTTTCCAGCAGTTCTGACAATCCCGTTCTTGTTGTTCCACAGTCAGGTTGACAGTGAGCATAAGGATCCTTTCCATCAGTCCAAAGCCTCATAATGTCCTGCCAAAAAATGATCTCTGATTAGTTTTGTTGTAAACGGAATCCGCATTAACCATAAAATTAATTGTGTCATCATACTATTTTAAGTGCTCTAGCTTGTGCTGCATGTGCGATTGTGTCAGCATGATGATTCATATGGTAAAAGATGAAGGCTTTCTGCAAGCCTTCATCTGTAGGATTTGAATCCATCTTACTTTATTGGAGAAGTTTAACTTCCTCACTCAGCTCACTTATATTGAGCCTTTTGTGCATTGCAGGGAGTGACAGAGTTAAAAAAATCTGTGGACACTACTGCTTCAAGTAGCACTCAGACCAGGGCTCTGCACCTGTGTGAGGAAAAAATCCACAGAGATGTTTTATCAATTTTTCTGAGGTTTTTTTTAGCTTCACCACATATGACCGCTGTAGCCCTGCCCTAACATTTAAAATATCAAGTTCCGTGTCTTGTTACATTTAAGCTGATTCCTTACTAAAAGACACATAACACATTGAAGACAATGCAGTTGCCAAACAGCCTGTGTACAGATATGACTCAGTGTCCTGATTCTTTTTGATGAAGAGAGAAAAGAATACAGAGCAAGCGCACATTTAAAAGAGAGAAAAAGCTAGCAGGCTTTAGAGGGCTGACAGGGAATTGCAGCTCATGAATCATCATTGCCCGTTGGACGTCTGGCTGAGTTGCCCAGCCTGCCCTTTGTATGGCCCTGACACACTGCGCTGCGTAAAGCGCTAAGACCTTTGGCCTGATCATAAAAGGCCTATTAAGGGGGATTGGCGGGTGGCCACCATGTTAATGAAGCGACCCACTAGCTGCTGTCAAGGATGGCAAAAATTCCCCTCATAACTGCAGCCTCAGTGCGCCTTTGTACAGCTGAAACATAGGTGGGAGTTGTTGCCTACACTGTGAGCGTGGGCCACACTGTACTATTGTCATTGTGTTTATGTGTAAATTATGCGAACGCTTATTCCTGTGTTTGTCTCTGTTGTTGGGTTGTATGTGTCAAAGTACCACATATCTTTGTGTCTTGCTTATATATGTTAGTACTCTGGGGGTGTATTTCTACCACTTACCAGCATACTGTGTACATATGGCCTTGTGTCTCCCCTTGAATCCGTGAACATGACATGCAGCGGATTGTGTAGGTGGCGTCACACTGCAGTCAGTATGTCATGCGGCCTGATCCCAAGGTTGTGCGGGGGTCGGGTAATAACCACACAATGATGTTCTTTATGGGTCATAATGCTGATAAGCTCCATCCTCTGAGCCCTCTGCCCCGAGACATTTAGGCTCATTGAATGTTAAGTGTCATCACATCCTTTGTGCTTTGTGCTGACTGTCTGCCATCTTCTCAACAGATTGAGAATGTGGATGCCTGCCTCAGTTTCCTGGATGCCAGAGGAGTGAATGTACAAGGGCTCTCAGCAGAAGGTAGGAATAATACAAAATTTGAGGCCTGATTAAACTTAATTAAGTCGGTGGAGCAGCAGAAGAGAGATGTGGCTGTTGTATTTGTCTAATTTCTAAATCTGGAAAATTAATTTGGCTTCAATGCGACCCATCCTCTGTGGGTAGGTTTCCATTTCTTCACAGTACCAAATGTTTTCAGAAACCTGGTTTAAGCCTGTTTCCGAGACATGTGAGTGTACTTCACGGTAATGGAATTTACCACACTGGTATCATGACAGCTTTCACTATGGCAGTGTAGGCAGTCATTAGGGCATCAGAGTGGATTGTGGGAGGATAAAAACTGCAGGGCTGGATTTGCCTCCTGACCATCAGGGTACACAGTACATGCTTTATAAGACACGCCAGTCTTATGAAGCATTCTACTCTGAACGGCTTCTGCCAAAGTGAATGATTGTCTGAAACTGTCTCACAAGGCTAGGGTTAGACATTCCAAACAATATATTAAGAATACGTTTTACATTTGATTTGACTCTGCAGGGACACCTTAAGGTTCCATAAAAAAGTATCTGTATGTACAACTGCAGTCAAAATGTCTTCAATACAGCAAGCAGCACATACAGTGCAGTGAAAACTTATTTGTGCCATTTCTGTTTTCTTTTTTTGGCATATTTGTCACACTTGCATGTTTCAGATAATCAAAAATCATAAATAAACTGTGATTAAGCATATTTTTTAAAAACTGAATTAAATTTTGCAAGCTACACCAAGGTATGAATAATTCTATTCTATTTAATGTTTATAGCACCGAATCACAACAAGAAATCACCTAAATAGAACCTTTCTGAGAAAGTGAAGTAGGATAAAAGATAAAATAGATAAAACGCATCATGCTACAATCTAAAGAAACTTAAGAACAGATGAAAAACAAAATCATTAACATCTGTCAGTCTGGAAATGGGTACAAAGTAATTTCTAAGGTTTTGAGGCTTCAGAGAAACAAAGTGAGGGCCATTTATCCACAAATGAAGAAAACTTTGGACAGTGGTGAGGATATCAGGAGTCACAGGCATCAGTGACTCATCCAGGAGGTCACAAAAGAACCCAGAACAACATCTATAGAACTGCAGGCCCCACAGTCTCTGTGAAGGTCAGTGATCATGATTCAACATAAAGAGTTCCGAAGCAAAAATCACAGCTGACCACACACACAGACACACACACACACACACACACACACACACTGGAAAAAAAACTACTTGATGATCCCAACACTTTTGGTAAAATAATCTGTGGACTGACAAGTAAAACGCAAAACTTTTTGGAAGGTTTGCATCCTGTTTCATTCATGCATAAAACTAACACAACTTTTTATAAAGAGAAAATCATACCAACAGTCAAACATGGTGGTGGTAGTGTGACGAGGCTGCTTTGCTTCTTCAGGAACTGGACAACTGTCTGTCATTGATGAAAACATGAATTCTGATCTCTGCTAGACAAGGAGAAGGACAGTGAAACACACATATTCACGTTTGAACGACTCAAAAGAACAAGATGGAGTTCAGGACATAAAATCTGATTGTGATGCTTTGCATGACTTTTAACAGGCCGACCTCTACCCAGCATCCTTCAGGTTTGCTGAATTAACAAAATGCTGCAAAGAAGAGTTGGCCAAAATTCTTCCACAGTGATGTGAAAGACTAATTTCAGTCTTTGCTGCTCAGCCAGTTAGGTTTGGGGGCAATTACTTTTTTCATATAGGGAAAGGTAGGTTTGCGTAGCTTTTTTCCCCTTAATAAATGAAATCGTTGTTATTGTTACGTTTCAAAGTACGGAGATCTTAAAGAACATTTAATAGTTTCTCTGTCAGTACGTATTGGGATGGTTATATCATATTCATAAAGGTTTATACTCACAATGCACATCTACAAGGACCAGTGCTTGCTCCGACCCATGTTGTTTCTGCTCCCTTTAAATATTAATGGGCTGAACTTGCCCTTGACATCTCGAGCAGCAGAAATAGCCTAACAGGCTGACACACTGACCGACAGCTCTAAATTCTCCATGCTCAGTTACAACACTAAAAACAGCAAAGTGACTTGCTGGGCTTGGAATTTCAAAGTGGGTCTGTAAATATATGGGCTATTTGGTTACCCTGTTCATTGCTGTTGCTGATGCATTTCATTTGCTGGCTTCTCTTGGTCATTCTTCTATTGAGCATGTGTTGGTTGTGTTTGTGACTTGAATGAGACAGCCGTGTCTGCCCTCTCATGTCTAACTGAATTTGCCCAGGGCTTTCCTGGCAATATGCAGTCTTTATTATAGTTTTACAAGATGTGGGAATAAAATAAAGTGGGAGGCTTGATGTGCATACAGGAACCTAGAAACTACTTATTGCAATAACTATTCCAGAAGTCTCCTTGCAGCTCACTGGTGGGAGGCTTTAAACCAAAGTTCCGGAAAAAGTCGTCTCATTGAAGAGTGTTTTAGTCCCCGTACAAACATTTCACCGAGGGGACTTATAGGCTTTAATGAAATTGAGTCCACACACTACAGAGGAGGATGATGGTGGCTTTTTTTACTAAAGACTTGAGACAAAGAAAGACTTCCAATTAAAATTCAATAACCTAAGATCTCCCGGATGTGTTGGCACAGTGGAAACTGATCCCAGACATAAATCCTCATGACTAACTAAATCTGACATTTTTGCAAGGATACATTTCAGTCATTGTTGCAACTTACACTATCATCACCTAAAGCCTACTTAGCATCCATACTAGTTGCACTAATATTATTAATATGTTTGAAATTGCAGCTTCCAATGTTTGCACTGCTACTGAGAGCATGCTGCTGTGTTGTCAACTTAAACATGTTATAAAGACAAACTTCATACACTAAAACACATGGTCAAGTTCGACCCTTTTGGACACAAAATATCTCAAAGCGGCAACATAAAGTTTTACCTCTTCAAATGCGATAATTATCTTCAGGAAGTTCAGTGTAGCATTTCCACCCTTAAAAGCAGGTGTAAAGCCCCCAAACACATGTTTCCTACACTTGATAATTGGTTACATTGAGGGGTACAGCAGGTCATTAAACACTCTTTCCAATGCAGGGTCTCACCCACTGAGGCTATTAAAAAGACAGGCTCTTTTTGGTTCCAGTGCTACCAGGAAACCTATAGTATGACCTACTCAGCACATTAAAGTCCTTTTCATTAGTGGCTTTAGGACAAGATCAACCACGGGTACACACTTGTCCTCTGATCAGAAGGCAGGGCCCAAGCCTTTCAAGTAGAGGTAGGAAAGGTAGTAAGACAAAGCAGTGCAATGATGGAAAACGTGAAAAAATTAGAAAATACAATTATTTAGAAAAAGCTTACGGAAGTAAAGAGAAGGCAGAAGCTGCTGATGAGAAAAGTGAAGGAGGCAACACAGGCTATTAGTGATGACATGTGTTGCCTAGCCTCGCTGTTTCATTAAATAACTTCTTCTTTAAATGCTCCAGAGCAGCATTTCTCTTGCTGACACTTGCTGGCATGAAGCAGGTATGGATCTCTGACAAAAAATGTCTAATGTGAGCTTTACCAAACTGCCATTAGTGTCTCACAGAATCCTGCAGTCTTCTTTTTTTTTTTACTCTAAATGGACAGAAAAAGGTGGCTCACCGGGAGAGTTTCACATCACATTTTGAGCCGGCACTCATACAGAGCTTTTGTTAGATGATAAGCTGAGTAATTTGTGTAGAAACTCTTGCCAGAAAAGTAACTGAAAATATGGCAGAATAGTGACGTCAGGAATTCATCTTCATACCTAAATTCTAAACACAATTTAGGTTACAACTGTTAGTCCTGCTTTCCTAAACAACACAAATATTTTGAAGACAAATCAGCCTTTGGTTGTGCACATGTTCACAAAACGATTGCTGTATTTACAGTTTCACTGCACTAGAATAAAATGTTGGCCCGTGAACATAGTATGCATGGCAGTCATGCTGGCTCCAAAACATGTCTGTCATTGCCAATTACCTCTAAAGTCATTTGCAGGGGACAACGCTGTTACACGGCTCTTTTAACAGATCTGGGACTCATCCCCTGTCTAAATGGAAATTACATGCTACATGATAATTTGAAAGAGGAACTAGATCATCCACCAAAAATTAAAGGCATGTGAAAAGACAACATCTTCTCAAAAGGGGGATAGAAATTAGCATTGCTGAATTGCGTGGTTGGTATTGTCACCTTGGCCCAAGCCTGCATCCTGTTAAAGTTTCTTTAAAGAAAATGAGCTGCTGAGTTTTTCCACAAAAGCACTTATTCTGTTGGATCGATAAAGCATTATTCTGCTTCTTGTCCTCAACAGTATCATTTCAGCGGGGGCTGGGTTTTTTTTTACAAGTTGCAAAACAGTTTTAGTCCCAGTGCAGCAGAATCTGCAACGTTATTTTCCCTAAAGCACAGAAAGCGTTTTCTGTTCTGATTCTCTCAAAGGCCTAGTGTATATTACCACCTCTGGGTGTTAGAAAATAGGAAACGCCCCCAAGAGATTAATCTTCCCTAACTTTCACAGCCTCTGCAGCATAGCCACGGATGGCCAGGGGAATGTTTGTTCCTCACCAGATTGAAAAATGTAGTAAAAACCCTGTGTCAGCCACTGCCATTCTTCCCATTCCTCTGTGTGCCAGCTCTCACTGAGGGTTTGGTATGAAAAGCCCATTTCACAAACGGGTGCGTTAGCCAGTGATCAATTCTTTTTCCTCATCGCCGACTGGATCCTACTTCAGCACTGTGTGTGTGTGTGTGTGTGTGTGTGTGTGTGTGTGTGTGTGTGTGTGTGTGTGTGTGTGTGTGTGTGTGTGTGTGTGTGAGGGAAGCATTTGTTTGAGTTTTGTCTGAGATTAACTCAAAAGTGTTCAGGGTAAGATTTACACTATAGACTTATTGATTAGAGGATTCTTTCTGTTGCCTCTTCAGCATATTTAAGAAGTTACTTTATCTGCAGCTCTGCTATTTGTTGAAGATCCAATATCCAAAACGTGAATTCTATCTTATTATTGTTGTTTGTTACTCTTTTCTGCTGTGAGCTCATTTTGCAGCATGAATATGGTGATTCATTCGTGGTTATCAGGGCTGCTGTTTTCTAGCTTGTTTCATTTTAGTTGTCATTCAGATAATAAAATCCAAACTGTTCATTCTTCCTTTTTATCTCACGCATTTGAATGGTTTTGCCTTCATCAGTACACAGAAATGTGTCACTTCTACCCTCACCCAGCAGCACATGCAGTCACTTCCTTATTTCATGGCGAGAGCAGAACTATAAACAAAGTAGCTCTTTTATATTTTTGGCTGCTTGTCCAACAGACTTGTGCCAGTAATACATCAGAGTAGTAGTTCCCTACTGGTCACCGCTCCTAAATTATCCAGCTGTGTGTAGCTCGGGTTAGAGATGCTTTATTTGGATCTGCAGTATAACAGCTGGACCTTCTTCTGAGCAGTGGCCTTAATCATTCCTGCTAAATACAGTTAAGTAACTGAAGTGCTTATTCTATAACTCTGTGTATCTTTATGTAATTGCTCTTTTTAAATACTTACGTTTGCTTCACAACAGCTGCTCTTGAGCTCTGTCCCTGAGTGTTTTTTTCTTCTTCCACAATCAGCATATGCTCGTTTTATAGTGCTTGAAAGTCAAAATACATGTTCTGGGAAAATGTTATCTTTGGCTGATTACTTTCACTTGCAGAAAATACTTTAATTCCAAGAAAATGCATAGGTAGATTTAGAGGATACATGGATGCAGGCAGATCGCACATGTGTGCTCTGCGTGTACGCTCGCGATGACTGAGCTTGAGACTGAAGTCACATTTCTATTCATAGAGAATTTGATTCTGTAGGTCCATGGCTGTATGATGGAGGAATTGTTAAATAACTAACACGGCAAACACTTACAATCCATTTTTACCTTCCAGAAATCAGGAATGGCAACTTAAAGAGCATCCTGGGTCTCTTCTTCATCCTGTCACGCTACAAACAGCAGCAACAGCAACAGCAGCAGTATTACCAGTCCCTGGTGGAGCTCAGCCAGCAGACCAGCAGCACCGCATCATCTGCCAGCAGCCACAAATCACAAGAGATGCAATCCAGGTATGTTACACTAAACATGGACACAGATTTTCATGCCGATCAGTCTTTGTTTTGCTTCCCTTGTGCTGCCTGCCTGTTTGGGATGCATGCTTGATGTTGCAATATTCATTGATTTATCACTTTCAGATGCTCAATTAGGTCCTGTTACAGTTTTTCTAAACAGAAAACTGAGGGATGTGACCTCCTCTCTGTGGTGCAGGAAATGAATAACAAGATACAAAGATGATGATTAAGGTTTTTGCTGCATCAGCTCCATGTGTAAGACGAGGCAAGTTAGCTGACAGAAAGCAAAGAAGCTACATTAGTCAACTCAATTTGATTTATATACTGTAGAGCTTTTTAAAACAACACAAGCTGACCCAAAGTGCTTAATGAAGTATTGAAATCTTAGTCTCTGATCTCACTACAAAACACATACTCCTCACAGAGTTGAGAAACCAGACTTGGCACACAGGTACATCTCAGACCTGACTCAGGTTCTAATCTGACCATCCATTGAACAGAAATCTAATCTAAGCCTGTGAGCCTGTGTTTAACAAACACATGTGAGAGTATCATTGATCATTTTTTGTGCCTGACAGAAAATAAATGCCAAACATTTGCTTTATAAGCACTTCAGTGCAAAAGCTGACAGCATCATTTAGTACTAAGGTAGCTATAATAAGCTAGAAGATGTTGCAGAACTGTTTCATGGCTTTTCATCAGGTGAGGACCCCAGAGGTGTTTAATATGACGATGCTTGTTGTATGTTTATTTAGAAATACAGTATAAGAAGACGTGGATTATACAGCAGAAGTGTTGGCCTACAGAGGGATGAGCGCTGTAAAAGGCAGCAGAAGCAAAGAAGGCCTGTACTTGTGTGATGTAAATAGACACAGCAGCATTTAAAAGAAGGCCTGAGACACATGAGCAGCATTCCCCCCGGCCAGATCGAGTTACTACACAGCCACACGGTTTGGCTGTGATGTTTTCTATTAGTGTGTGACTGTAGAGAGAGAGTATATGCATTAAACCAGTGCAATAACAGAGTTAAGTCTCAGTATTTAAGGAGTGGGCATGTGAGTAAGATGATACTGTCGAGAGCTTTGACTTCACTGTGTTTGGTTGAGTTAGGAGATGGTGGCAGTGGGGTCAGTGTATCGTGTCTTAGGGGGGTTATTAGGGGCACAGCTGCCTCCCATTCCCACCCTCTTTATTCCACCCCCACAACAGGTGGTGAATGCTCTCACTCTCTCTCTCTTTTGAACACACATACACAAAACAGTGAATTGTTGGAAGCACATCGCTGTGTCAACCTAGTTTCAGACTTGACGAATCAATACATACACACTTAACGAGCCATTACAGAAGCTGCACATTTCCTCATCTTTTTTTAGTTTAGATCTCAAGAAAGAATTTGTTTCAACCAAAGAAGTGTCTCAGATGATTTCCATGTAGACCCTCACTGTCTCTCTTCTGCACTAATAAGTGAATAATGTTGAAGGCCACAGTGGAGGTCAGTAGAGATGGCACCATACCACTTTTTTATGTCCGATACCGATATCATAAATTTGGATATCTGCCGATACTGATATGAATCCAATATAGTGTATTTTTTAAATCAATAAAACTGTTTTTTTAATATCTTGCTGCATTTTGTAGAAGTTCATACTCAAGTTAAAAAAAAACCCACTAACGCTATTCTGTTATACCTGTATGTAAAAAATAGACTGCACCCAAAATATTTTATAGTTCAGCAACACTGATCAATCTAATAAACTTAAACCTGCTCCATCCTCCCTATTCTGGTATTTTAAAGAGTACTTAGTGGAAATATTAAGCAACCTAACTAATAGGGTTGCAAACTTCCAGCAAAAAAAAAATAGGGAACCACCCCACACCCTTGTGATGCTTAATCGATGTAATCAACTTTAATTTAATGCACGTGTAAAAAAATAAATAAATAAATAAAAAATGCACAGAAATCTATTATTTTTCCACAATAATTAAATAGATTCAACATCTTTCTTCAACAGAACTGCAGACTGCACAGATGGTACCTTCCCAAAGGAAAAAGTACTACAGCTTACTAGGGTATATTAGACTTAATAGTTACTATATACAGTAATGGACTTCTATATGTTTTACATCAGATTAAAACTTTGGATGTAAGATTCAGATAATTATTTATTAAAAGCTACACATTTTAAATGAGAATAAGAAAGAAAAGTATGTCTATGTGCCCCCTTTTCCCTGTTCATGCCCTCTCGGCCCCCCTGGCTAAACTTTGCTAGATCCACCCCTGCACAGTTACCAGCCGTCAGCTGCGTAGAAAAAGATCCTGGTGTAGAAAGTAATGATAAATAAATTCTAACAACAGCTTATCAAGCTTAAACGTGCTGCTGTTGTTCAGCCGCTGGTTTCCTCTTTCTGGCGCCAAGTGGGCGATAAACAAACAAGAGAGACGGACTCGCGACAGAAAAGCTGATCAGCTGATCATTGATCAGTTTCATGATTGAAGTAGCAGCAGGAGAGGGAGGGAGAGAGAAGAGGTAAGTCGCTCCATATATCGGTTGTTAAGCCTAATGCTGGAATGCTTTACAAACATTCAGAGATGAACTTACACACTTGCTTTACTTCTCTCTGGGATAAAATGCCGGTTTGGTAGCGAGGCTCCAAATGCTCAACCAGACCACCGACAGGTCTCACACGCCACAGCCGCTCTATCACGTGAAGCATACTGCTCCGACATGCTAAGGTTATGAGCCGAGTTACGCCATGTCGCAAGTTTTGTGAGGTGCTTTTTTGATATTTGATGGATCGATTACATTTTTTATTTCTCTCCAATATCTGATCCAGTAATTTAGGTCAGTATCGGTCCGGATCGGTCCGTCTCTAGAGGTCAGAGGATCAGTCCATGTCTGTCTGTGAAAAATAAGCTATCAAAATGTGACAACATCCATAGCTGATTGAAGACAGTCTGCAAAGGTCAGAAGGAAGGATGGAAATGAAGGAACTCATTGATAATGTTGCTTTCAAATCAGGAAAAATATTGTGTTAAGAACAGTCTAGAGATGCAACATAATTTGACCTGTCATCAATTGAAATCTCATGAGCTGTTGCTGGTTTTTAAAGCAATGTTTTAAGAAGGTCCCACAGTTCTGAATTGTGTGTCTGAGTGTCAGTGTGTGAGTCAGAATGAGCCAGTCATGAATGCATGACTCAAACATCATAAACGGGTGATTTAATGTTCTCAACCAAATTCCCCGAGTATCACTTTCCATAATTTAATGTATGTCATTGGCAACACGCAGGATTTATTTCTCATATCGCCACAACGTAATTGTTCATTCATTCATTCATTCATTCATTCATTGTTAGGGGTTTTGTTAACCGCAACGATAATCAGATAATTAGACTTGTGTTAAAGTAATATGCTGAGTCGAGTATCATAGCTTCATAGTTTCAGCACATGTACTACTATATTTTAATAATACATTACACACATGAACAGGAACATTTCACTGTATATTAAAGAAACACAGACTCCATGAAGTTGAGTAATTACCACCAGAGCACAGGGAGACATTTACTTTTCATATTATGTCTAATTCAGATGATATTAAAGCATTGTAAGTTTCTTCTGTGTGAGGCTTCATGTCTGGCTGGTGCAGGCTCCACTTCCTTTTCACTCTCAAAACATGGAAATGTAATTAAATCTATTCATGGAAATCTACTTTAATTCTCATTTTTGCAAGCTCCCGTAAGCTCCAGTCGACCCTGAAGATTTAACATGTCTGAATGGATTTTGTTTTAAAGTTTGCAAATGATCTCTTCCTCAGAGATACACACACATATATACACACTCACACACAGAGATTCATTTGGGCTGCTGCTCATCTGTAGTTGTGGTATGGGAGCTTTCTATAGACAGCACCTGCTGGCCTAGCTGGTGTCTCCAGGGCAGGGGATGAGATGAGTGTGACTCTGTATGTGTTTAAGGGGAACTCCCCATCAGACACAGCACGACAGCCCCGAGCCACAGTCTTTCAGTCTTTCAGTGCTCTACAAGGCAGGGGGGCCCAGGCCTGGCAGGGCACAGCAAACCCTCCCTCTTATTATTCGCCATGTCCCGGGGCGACCACGTTGACCCACTGGTATGGCGCTCCTCGCGTCTGCCCACCGCTGTGTCTCGCGACAGGAAGAGCCGCTTGCCATACGGGAGAGCAAGCATCCTGGCCAAGATTGACTCATCTCATAGGTATAGTTGGATCTTGTAGAGTGTGTGTGTGTGGTAGCATCCAGGCACTGGACAATATTTGGAAATTACACGATGACATGAGGAGGATGGATTAGTCTCAGTGGCATCGTGAACTGGTAAATTGTTCAGTTCCTCTTGTTTGTTGGTTTAGCCTTTTATATGACATGTTTTATGTTTAGCTTTTTATTATAGGCTGTTAATACGGACACGATGTTTGCCAGTGAGAAGTTGAAATGAAGTGTGTTCAAGACATTAGTCTGTCAACAGCTTATTTAATGAATGGGATACTACACTGTAAAAACCCAGTTTTGTACTGTATGTATTTGAAGCTAATTATCCATGCTCCAGCTCCAATAGTGCTATGCGCCTGGTTGGAAATTTTGTTCTTGATTTTATAGCAGTATTTAATTTTCTACTGTGTCCTGCAGAATGTTCCAATCCAGTGGCAAAATATGCAGTTTTTATGTTATTCTGGACACGGCACCACATTTGGTCATGTGGCATAATGCCTCTGAAGATGTGGAATAGTGATGAATTTGCTGTTTGCATCTCATCTTTTACTAAGAGGTGGTTGGTTTTCCTTTACCCATAAATGGGTAAAGGAATAAATGGCAGGTCAGAAATCATTTTTGCACATTGCTGGTGCTTTCAACCTCTTACTGAATGGTGTGTTACTTTATTGGTGTTGTGACATTCAAGTTCCTCAACTACTTGCAGCATGTTGCTTAGAAACTGCTGCCTAGCCAGCATTATTGTAAAGTAGATGTGGAGTTGATACATGCTGAATTAGGTATGTGGCTTTGTGTGAGATACTCAAGCTTGAACGCTCTTTGTTGGAAATTCATCCCCTGATGTCAAGGTCAGATGACATCTTATTACCTGCTATCATCACAGTGATTCGAGCACACAGATGCCTCACGTTTTGGCTCTGAAACCCATCAGTTTTAGTTTGTGTCTGACCTCAGCGATGTGGCTACCAGGAAGCTGAAACTGAAATTAATAGCACAGCAATGGTATCCAATATGGCTTGCATATGCACTGCAGTGTCGCGGACTATTAAAGAGAGGCCACGTTGATGTATGTTGTATACAATGAAAAGTGACAGACTGTAATCCCCCACCCCTCTCGTCTCTACCACCCCTATTCCATCACCATTTCTTGATCCTGCCCTCATGTGTTCTGGTGTTTCTTTTTTCCACACTGGAATGATCTGGAATGTTGTGGGTTGGATTAGCACCCCAGGCTGGAGACTATACCATTGCCTTCATGTTTCATTACATTTAATATAGTTGGAAGTGAGGGTAAGGATGGGTCTTGTAATGGAAAAAAACACAACACTCTAGGTTTTTTTACTGTCCATATACTGCTAGAACTCCCGCATTATTTTTCCTTTTCGTTATACTCCTGCAGCTTCTGTTGCCTTTAGATATTACCTCATCCATGCCTTTTACAGCCCTTTACTCTGAGTATGGGTAAAAAGAGAGAAAGGACAGAGAGCAGAAGGACAAAAGGTTTTCTTAGAAAGAAATACAATGCACAAACTTAGACTCCACCTTCTTTTCCCCCCAAAATGCTGATAGAGCACTTTAGCATGTGACAGGCTCCACTAAACTGTCACACCTTGGCTTTTTTGTGCAGTAAAGACCTCTTAGAATATTTACAGGAACACTTACATGCTACTAGGAGATGACATTGTGGGTGTCTTGTTGCGAGTATTCACTGATGTATCATTTATTACATAGTTCATTATTAACATGATGCAAAGGTGCTCGTCACTATAATTGCGTTCTACTCTCTGCTCAGGAGCTTGTTAGAATAACAAGGTGTCATGAAAACCTGCAAAGGCAATTAGAGATGTACTGCAGCTCTGCATTCATCACAGGTGGGTTAAAAAGGAATTTAATTGTCTGGAGCAAGAGGTGTAAATGGAGAAAGATGAGAGAGAGAAATGGAACTTATAGTAAAGATGGACAGTTGAAAAGTTAATAATTTTCCCACCACCGTAAAAGGGCCTAATCCTTCATAGTTTAACTTATGAACAAAATGATTCTTCTGCTCTCATTGATTCTACAAAATGATGTATGTGTACTCAGCATATTTAATCAAATCACTGCAAAAAGGCCTAGACCAGCCTATTATTGTACTTCTACATTTTTAGGCCAAATTCTGTTAAAGTAGGAAACAGCTAAAGATTTTGCTGAACCCTAATCCTCATTTCTGTAGTATATAATTGTACTGCAGGTTTTGTAGTCATTTCTTCTTTAAACCAGTTTTTTCTTTTTTAATCATCTTTTGGTGGGTGTCACCTGTGCCTGAAATATCATAATGTAAAACCTGTTAGCACTTTTTCATAATCAGTTTTATGAATAGCTGAGTGGTGCGAACTTACAGAAGATAGTTGCTGTGCCTCATTCAATGACCCAGTATAGGTAGTTTATTGTCCGTCTTGTCCACTTTCAGTCACCAGTGCCAAACCAGCAGCCCACAAACACAAAACAGAGAAGGAGTTGTTCTCATTTGTCAGAAAAGAAGGAGCTCTAAACAGACTGCTGGTGTTTGCTGCTTCCTCTGTCCTTCAGCCGAAGCAGCTCTGCAAACTCTGAGTAGAGGACAGATTCAAGGTTTTACTACTGAACTTCATCTTGTTCTCATTCATCAAGACAATGATTGGAAAGCTCAGGTTTCCACCTGTGATCAGCCTGTGAAAGGTAATGTTAGTTCAAAGGGTTTCTTCTGGGAACTAGCTTAAATTTGTCTAATATGTAGCAGTTAAATGTGTCTTCCGGACAAAGGGCTAGCAGCTGCTAGCAAAGCATTGATTTGGTTAGAATCCACAATTATTGTGGTCATTGAAAGTTTTGTCATCTTTGTTTGTTTTATTGTCATTAGCTAGTAACATGATTCTGCCATCACATATGCCTAATTGAACATTTGATGTTTATTTTTTATCTTTCATTTTTGTAATTTTATCTATTTTATATGCTTTTATTTAACATCATTTAATCATCAGATTATTGTTTAGTACACTAGTATGTTAACATCTTGGCAGCTAAGGAGTAGGTAGCTAATGTTTCCATTGTTTTAAGTCTATTTTCTCACTAAAAAACAAACAAATGACGTAGGGGCTAACATTTAAAAGCAGGTCAGATTACCATGGTAATTGAGAAGGACTTTACCAGATATACAAATGGTCAGTAAAAGCACATCTTTATTGAAAATACATTCTACAAGTTGCTTAATTACAAACATGTCAAACATGAATAGAGTTTCCTTTCTGTAACAGTCATTCCCATCTCTGCCAATGACTAACTGTGACTGGTGCTGTGGGTATTTCCTTTGCCTCTGTCTTGTGTGTTTCTTCAAACCATGCCTTCAGAAAATTGTTTGTGAAAGTTGTTGTGTGTGTGTGTGTGTGTGTGTGTGTGTGTGTGTGTGTGTGTGTGTGTGTGTGTGTGTGTGTGTGTGTGTGTGTGTGTGTCAACAGCCCTATAAATGGATTAGGAGATGTTATTGGCCTAGTCATAAGTGTGTGGTAACAAACATGTGTGAGCCATCATGTGAAAAATCAAAGAAATGTGCACTGGCATGCTACAGTATTTACCACATGCTTCTTCTCTTCTATCCCTTGGTCCATCTCTCTCCCCCTCCTATGCTTACATCTGAATGGCTCCCCTCTCACACGTTATTACATTAAGACATGGATTAAGAAAATTCCAGCAAGTCACTGGTCTTATTTCTTATCTGACTGTGTTAACAGTGTTGCCCATCTTCTCTGCTTTTTCCTCAGTCTCACGGCACGATATGCAAGTCCTCCAGGCCACAGTGGAATAGGTTCACCACAGAAGAAAAACACCAGGTAATTATGGAAAAATAGATCTTTAAATGTCTTTATTTTATTTGTTAAGCTAATTAATATGTGCAATTTAGTTTTTTTTCAGGGAGGGCTTTGAAGAGCTGCTCTCTCCACAGTCAGGTCAGAGGTCAACAGGCAGAACACCTTATAAGAATTTTGTGTTTTGTTCTTGGGTTCTCAGGATGTAGCTGCAGTAGCTTTATGGTAGTTTGAACGAATGTGTGACAGTGAAGAGCAGAATGTGATGTGCTAAATGTTCGTGTGCTTGTGCCATTATGTTCCCACATGAAATACAGACTCCTTAAACATTATGAGTCCATCACAAAAGGTGTGTACTCACTACATGGATACAGTATTTCTGTAAAGATGCTTGCTAGGAATTTGTTTCTAAATAAATATGAGTAAAACTGGATGCTACCTCCTGTTGACAATCTCACAATCTCAGTCTCAGTGAGATTACTGTTTTAGTGGAGGATTCAGTTATACCAGTGCACAGAACCTTATGCTTCGGAGCAGACGGTGCTTACCTCTGGGAGCCTGTGCTGCCTAAGAAATGTTTTTTGCGTATTGTGTCCCTTAGCACTTTTAAACATCTTGACAAAGATGCTGAATAAATAACTACAGTGTTGCAAAGCACTTTGATATAGCTGCTAGGCAGGGAACCTGTGTCCTGTGTGAGCTGGTAAACTTATAACAGCTCTAAACATGAGCATTAAGGGTGAGAAATTCATTCCCAGATATGGGCAGACCAGAACAACAAAGATAAAAGGGATTTTTCACATACATGCAAGACATACACTTTAAAATGTAGCCACACGTGCTGCATGTGCGCAGCCTCCTTCAGCTGTCTGATGCTTGCAGCATTTGTTCCAACTCAGAAGCAGTGGGAACCAGCACGTTGGCAAATAATTCCTCTCCAGCCACCACTGAGCAATGGCAAAAATGCTGCAGCCAGCAGTTCCAGCCCTATGGGTGATAATCTGCCCTCTCACATCACTGCTGCTGCCGCTCTGCAGAAATAGCTCTTTAATTCCCCACAAACAGATGAAGATACACATACGCACGCGCACACAAACAAATCACTTATATTAGTGAGCGGTGACAGTGCAGGCACTCTTCTCTTGCCATCTCATTTTCATTCAAGGCTGATTACCACAGTTAATTACTTTCTTGCCTTCTGAGAAGTTATTTTTAATCACCACGAGTTGCCTCCTCTGTTATCCCCGAAGCAAGAAAGTTTTAGCAATTCTAAAATAGAAATAAATTGTTGTGTGTCTTTCATGCTGCACTGTGCTGAATGTGGTGAGGAATGTTTCCCTCAAGGTACTAGGAGCTTTAGTGTGCTTCTTACTACCTCAGAATGTCTGAGGTGCTTGCTTGTTAGCTAGCACTCAAGGACCTATCCAGTTTACACCTGGCCTTTTCACTTGACACAGTCACATTCAGGCTCTTTGTTTCCCTTTTGTCAGTGGTGGAAACTGTGCTAAATATTTTTGTATTTTGTATATCAGCTAGACAGTGTTGAGCTCTTTGCTATAATCTGCCTTCTCTGATGTTGGAACAGTAAACGAAACATAAGCGCAGGTTATGTTTTGGCTTTCTGTGCATAATAAGTGGTGTCAACAAATAGCTATTCATATGTTTCACATAATGGGTTGTGGATTTTTAATCTAGTTCCCTTTGATGTGGACATCTGACCTGAATTACAACAAAAGAGATTTACTTCCTGAATAAACTGCGCTAATACCTGACACTACCATGGGCTAGGTGCTTTATTTTTTTGTGGATCACCACTCAGGACTAGTGATGGGATTTCCAGCTCTTTTTAGAGAACCGGCTCTTTCGGTTCGGCTCACTAAAAAGAGCCGGTTCTAAGAGCCATTTCGTTCGCAACCGACACATCACTACTCAGGACTTATGGATGCTAACTAACTTCTGTGTACTGTCAGACAACACAACACTTTATCCGTTTTATGTTTTGTGCCCTTAACTCCAGTTGTACATCTTGGTAGACACACAATTCTCATCCTTCACCTCTTTCTCACATGGTGTTTCCAAGGGGTCGGTTTTTGATTCTTTTTTGTTCTCTGTCCATTCTTATTTTTCCATTGGGTTCATGATCTGAAAATATAGCGTTAATTTCCCCGGTAAGAGGATTATGTACAGCTTTAAGTTCCATTGATGGGTAGGAATGTAAGTACAGTTCTAATTTCAGTAGAATATGTGACGTTGAATGATGGTGACACTTTATTCAACTCAGAAATATTGCAAAAGTTAATTTATTTTATATCTCAAGTGGACCTTGAGTTGAGTTGCCTTTCTCTCATTGCCATAAGTCCATCTCCTGTTTGTTTGCTCAGCTCATGTTAGCACAGTCTTGACAATTTAGTTATTTGAGTTATTCTGCTTTCATTTGACATATCAGAGCAGCTGAACAACACACTGAAAGTTATAAAACCATCAACATGTTTTATTAGTTTAGCTGCCATGATTTCAAATAGAGTGTACATTAGATGTTGCGTATTAAATGTCGGTACGGTGTGGCCTTCATCTTAGCAGCAGGGAGTGATGTTTGGCAGTTTGCTGGCCACCCGCCTACTTGCGGTATCTTTCTACCATTTTAATAAGCCTGATGTGGCATTGAGTGGCCATGTGGGGGCCAGATGTGTCAGAGCAGATGTCTTACACTCTTGCAAATACAGGGTTATAACAGATGTTATAAGAACTAGTCATGAGATAAGGAAAGGGCTGTTTTGAATACACAGACTCAATGGCACAACATTGTGAAGGGCAGAGAACTCTCTTTGCTCTGCAAGGATTTCACCCACCTCCCTACCTCACCTCAGATCTGTCCAGTCTAAAACAAATTCCCTGTCGAGGAATTGCATCACATTTTCTCTCTTCCATTTTGCCGATGTATTATCAAACATGTATTTTGGAAGATGAAAGAATCTTATGATAAAAGGAACTACTTCTGATTACCATCTGAATTGCCTCAATCTCCATCTCATTTCCTACTGTTTATCTCTCATTTTCTCTTGTCGGGGTTTGCAGCTACAGCGCCTTCCTTTTCTGATGTGCACCCCTGTTTGTGTGCACTTTCATCCCCCCTCCCATTTCATATTTTTGTTCCTTTTAGATCTGTTCATTCTTTTGTCTTTGTCTATCAATCTCGTCTGTTCCTCTCGTGCAGACTAAATATATTAAAGCAGATATATACTATTAACGCTAGTCTGCCTTTGTATGCATTTCTGGGCGCAATGTTCTGCATTATGTGCATGCTACTATACATCTCCATCTGTTTTTGTTCTGTGAATGGCAGACTCAGCTCTGACCCGAGAACCACCTCCTGCTGCAGCTCACCGAGGCCTCTCGGGTAAAGCACCAGTGTTGCGCTCAGGCCTGGATCAGCATCTCTTAACAGTCAGCTCGTCTGCTACAAATGAACAGTGGGATGCAAAATCATATAGTAATTCAAAGAAGGGAAGTGCGAGTAAGGGACACATTTGTTCCTCTTGATGAAGTTTTGTGCACAGGAGCATATTTTATTTTTGTCTGTGTAAAACCATCTTTTCATTGCTCAGCACATGGGGCTGACATATTTGGCAGTTTTTGTTCTGACTTCCTGCTGCGCCTTGTTCCATTTTCTGAGGGAGACACCCAAGTTGCCTTGAATTTTTGTAGTTAGATCCAAATAATTTGCTTCTTGCTGCCATAATATAATTGCTGGATTTTAATATAGTGCTTTGTTTGTTCCTTGTTGCATCACAGACTGGAAGAGATACCTGGTTAGTAACTAACTTGCTTTGTTTACCTGAGCTACCTTCCCAGGAAAATAAAAAACAGTCCTGCTCCAGTGATATTTAATGATGCACTGGAAGCAGTTTTTTCAGCAGCTATTTTTTTAATAAGACCTTCATCCAGGCGATTTGGTTGGTACGGCGAATTTCTGCATCGATGCCATGGCATGTTTTCAGACATAAAGGAAATTGATCCTGTGCAGTGAAAAAAAGACTAGGTGGGAGCCAGTCTTTTGCATAATGTGTGAAAATATTTTAGATTTGTCAGCGATTCACACATTTTCCAGAGTTAAACTTGAAGTTCAGATGCAGATGAGTAAATAAATCCCCTAGATGAGATTTTCTGTCTTATAATTCCAAGATAAATTTGTGCATAAAACCTTCATACCTGTGTCAGTCAGAATTAAAACGATAGCATCGTGTGCCACGAGATGGGACGCGTATTTTACCCGCTTAGTGTTTTGGACTGTCAGTGTGAGCTTGTCCTCAGTTGTTGCAGATTCACGCGTGTCAGGAGGGCAGTCAGCAGCTTTTAATTTGGCTCTGTTACTCACCCTCATTTTAAAGTCTTAGAGTGATACTTTAGGGAAATAAAGGACTGAGAAAACTTTGTTGTTCCTTGATCAAACTCTACTCGTATTGATTTGGTCACTGATTGTTTTTTGTTGGTGGTGAATTGCTTTGCAGTTAACTGATGCTCCGAACACTGAAATTCAGTGTTTAAAATCAAAATAATGTTTTTTCTCAACTAAAGCATATTGAGTGAGAGAGAACTGCACTTTGTGTTTCCTATGAAGTGTATCATAGTTGGCCCATGTGGCAGAGAAATAGAAGAGTACCGAAAGCAGTGGCGGAAGAGATTTCTTAGTAGTCAGGAGGTTTGTTATCCATGCTAGATGTCAATCTGTCCTTTCATTTGTTTATTTTCATGAAAGCCTTAAACACAGAATGGAATATATGAAATATGTTTTTCCCCCAGAGGGCTTTTCACCACTGCACAATTCAGAGCCTAAATTACGTTTCCCTCCGACATCTCGGCTCCATCTGCGATACAGACAAGCGACATATTCAGCATAGCAAATCAATTATCTTTAAGGTCATGGCAAAGTTCATGCAGAGACATCAAGTTGTTACAGTCCAGCGTTTTCTCTCTCTCTCTGAGAAGATCTTGACTTATACATTTTCTATTTCACCAGAAGTTGTTTTTTTCAAAGTTCCATAAACGTTTTTTAAGGTTTTGAGCTATCTCTGCCCTTTTTCAAACCTGCATTTTGATATTGTTTCAACATGAAAACAGTGTAAAGCATCTGTGGGAGAAACCAAGGCACCAAAAAAGGAAAAATCATGTTGAGTTACAGCAGAAATAGATCCAGCTTGTCAAAATCTTTGAACCAGCTGCTAAATGTGTTTTTGAAGAAACGTGCTAACAAACAGATGTATGAATGCATCTGGCACACCACATAAAAAATGCAGCATAACGTTACTGTACAACAGGTTTTTGATGAGATTCTTCTTTTTAACACGCTTCTGGGAGTTGTGAAACTCCTCCAGCTGCAGCATGGCAAATCACCATTTGACACTGGCAGCTTTGACTGTGTCAACAGAAAGAAATGATGCAAAAGTGTGTTTCAAAAGTAGACTGACTGAAAACACAAACCCCCCTGGTAGATGTGACTGTAGTTCCTTTTTATGATCGTTTGAAGCGAAGGAAATATTTATATCACGCGTGGCTTTACAGTAGCTCTGATCAGCTCTGAGCTTTCAATCAGCCTGTCATGACACAGACTCTCAGCACATGTGCACCTGAACACACAGTTTTTCTTTTATCCTCCCTCCTTAGCCCAAGATGAAACAAAGACTTCTGATCTCTCTTCATCTTACACACTGACACATACTGAATCCAGGGCTGGTTATTTGTGAGAAAATATACCAATATTTGTAGATTTTTAAATCTCAATGTGTATCTCATCTGTTATTGTGTCTAGTCGAGGCCTAACAGTTAAAGGTAACAGTGCATACTTTAAAGGCGCTTTCAGTGGAAGTGACGGGACACCAAATCTCCGTGTGCTTTAGGTGAAGCTAATGTGAGATGTCATCAGTTAGTTAAGCCGTGCTTGAGCTTGATGTTCTGGAAGGGGTGGTCATTTTAGTACCTTGGTGTTATTCTGTAATTCTGCTGTTCCCTGAAACAAGAAGGGTGACTTTTGCACATTTGAACTCCAGAATGACTGGATGAAAGTTATTACTGACAAAGGACTGTTGATTTTAAAGTATCCCCTGTTATAAATAAACCACCTTTCCTTGACTTTTTTGGGTTGAGTTAATGTGCAGTCATTTTACTTATCATTGTTCTACCTCTCCTGCAGGTTACCAGGGCCCTCCAGAGTACCTGCTGCGGGCAGCGGGGCCTCCAGGAGCCCAGGCTCATCCAACCTCAACCGTCGGAGCCAGAGCTTCAACAGCATTGACAAGAGCAAGCCTCTTCAGTATGCCAGTGGCAACGATAGAGGTAAAGAGTGTGTTTACAGAGTTTGACTATGGGGTCAGGGGTAGGCAACCCCAGGCCTCAAGGGCTGGTGTCCTGCAGGTTTTAGATGTGTCCTTGATCCAACACAGCTGATTCAAATTGCTAAATGACCTCCTCAACATGTCTTGAAGTTCTCCAGAGGCCTGGTAACGAACTAATCACCCTGGGTGAGATCTAAAACCTGCAGGACACTGGCTCTCGAGGCCTGGAGTTGCCTACTCCTGCAGTAGGTATAGGCAGTGATTTTCCATTCCTCATCCCAACCACTTGATGGCACCACTCACACAAGTCAGACAGGCTGATGTCACTAGTCTTAACTGGTCTGCTGAATCATCCACTGCTCTTCATTCCAACTGAGTTGGAATAGATACCATTAAGTGGAGGTGGTGAAAATATTCACAGCACGAATAGAGCTGCTTGAGAAATGAGCAGGGGGTGAATCCAGGAAACCGCTTTGTCAAGTACGATCAAGCTAATAAGAGTAATGTTTTTGAGAAAAGGGTCTTACAGAGGCCAAGAGTGAGTGTGTGGCATTTTATTTAACAGAAAAGTAATTACTGAAAAGTCCTTGTTGTGTTAATGGCCACATTCTGCTGTGAAGAGTAAATATATCCATTCGTAATGTGTTAATTACACAATTCTTTACTGTTGGCTCGTTCGATCACTTTATAATAGCTTTAAGATTTTGTCATGGCTCATTCATAAGAATTCTTATGAGTTATTGGCTAACACAATGCCAGTAATTAAAACATGTTCTCATGCCTCAGCATCATCATAATAATAACGCCACTCCTGAAGGTATATTAACAAACCTTTTACTTTGGCAAAAATGTTTTCTAACAAAAGACAGCCAGCATTTATTCTTAAAGCACTGCACAGTCATTGAGGAAAACAGTGCAAAGGATCAGTAGATGGTGATGTAGTGGAGGAGAGACACAGTGAATGGCACCCAACAGAGATAGCAGTGAAATGCCTGCAGCAAACGCTTGCTGCATTTCTCTCTGTCTTCCTTTTAATCCTAAAAGTTCACATGTGCACTCACCCTTCCAGTTTCTGTCTGAAACTTCAGATTCTTCAGTGGAAGAGGGAGGTGAAAGATAACACAGAAGGATGGAAAGATAGTATGTGATCAATCGTAACTGAAAATTGCTAAAAACGGGGAATAACAAGCTCTTGAGAAACTGACATTTCACATTAGTCTTAATGTGCTTTTAGTTATAATTGGGTTTAAATGTCAGGGGTTTTTTTAGGTTTATTATGGTTATTAGTTACATCACAGTTTCAAAGGTTTCAGTAACATTTTCCCCTTTTTCTCCTGAAAATGATACGCAGGGTATTAAAGGGCAAATGTGTCTTTTTCCAGTGGAGTCTTGCCAAAAGACAAAGCCTCAGTTTGGAGAGATAAGCCGGTAGGACTGGTGCTTCACTGCAGGGGAGATGGAAAAGGTGTTTTGGTTTAAAATAAAATAGACAAACCAAAAAGTGGAGGGGGGATCAATTGTTGAGGAAATGTCAGCTATGCAGTCGGATCCTTCTGGCCAAAAACAGGTAGCAGAGAAATCAAAAGGCACATAAACAGATACAGGAAGTGTCTGCCACAAGCTTTTTCCCCTCCTCTCTTACAGCTACTTACATTCGCCCCTTATAGGACATGTTCTCGTTTAATGTGAAATCTTTTCATCTTTTCTAATTGTGACTGTGCAAATTCAGATTCCTAATGGAAACAAGTACAAATATAGTATTCAGCTCTGAGCAGACAATGCTGTAATGTTCATCCCAACCTCTAACAATTTTTACAGATTTCATTTTCCTATTTATTTGATATTATTATGCATAATTTCTTTATTTTCATTTTAATAATGAAGCCAGGCCACTGCACAAATGAGTTTGAAAGTGTTTTAATATTATTTAAGAAAAACTTATCACATTTTCCTCCTTTTTGCATAGTTTCCACCTGTTAGTACTACAGCCATTTAAGATTATGGAGATTACACATGGCAGTTTTTTGTACATGATGTCGACTTGTCTGATCTATAAAAGGGGCAGGGTTTACTTAAAACTAGCGTTCTAGTTTGTTTCTATATTTTTTTTTATCAGAGCCAATAAGCTCCAATGGCCAGGTCAATATATTATTTGATTTTATCTGTTTGCCATCTATTGGTATGGGCATTTGTAACAGCGGACACATGAAAAGGGAAAGACGAAACAGGAGAAACATCCTTCATATATTTTCAAACTACATTGTCATACTGTTTTAGTAAGGATTTGCAAAAAATGTATGCACAACAAATACTTCAGAAATACTTCTGTTTGTGTGTCAGAAAGAAGATAAAGAAGCAGCTGTGAAACTCCAGTACTCCAGAGTGGAGAAGGTGCTGGTTTCCTTAAGCCGATAATTTGTCTTACTCACAGTGATGTGAAGTGGGAAGCAGAGCAAGTTCAAATGTGTTAAACTGGAGTGTGGCCAGTGTGTAGAAACTCACACCAGGTGAATTTCAGTCTTTAACTGTGTGGTAAACAGAAGGGTTTGTCAGTACATACATGAGTCAGGGGCACGTGTGCTTCTGACTTTGTGTGTGTGTTTGTATTTGTTAGCAGAGGGTCCACCGCCACCCAGACAAAGTGGCATTTAATTCCGTGGTCGCTGAGGCAAAAAAGGAAAATAAGAGTCTGTTGCCACGGCAACAGCAAGTCACTGCACAGTGAAAAGTGTGGTGGTGCTGTGAAACTGCCTCTGGGGTGGGGAAGTGATGAGCGGGGAGGAGGGAAGGGGAATCTCTGAAGACAGGGTTAATTGACTGGACACACAAGCAGAGACACACACCGCAGGCAGACTCACACAAATGCTCACCATCTCTTTCATTCGCAGTCAGATTTATCAGATATGTAAAAGTCATTCACTTATCTCAAAAGATGGGGGCCAGCATAGTGGTCACACACACACACACACACACACACACACACACACACACACACACACACACACACACTCACAATGTATGCTGTAATCAACGTTTATGCCTGTGCCACATGACTGCCTGGACAAGAAATGACCATCTTGAGACAGTCTTGTGATGGGACCACATAGGACCAGCTATCAACATATTCATATTCAGACTCATAAGTACACAGTAACTATAAAGTAATATATTACTATTAGTTGCAGACACAAGTAATTAGTACATATTTGTTGAACTTGGGACTAATGGATCTGATTACACATATTTTAACCTGGCTCTCGTTTTCATCTCATCACCTGTAAAGTTTTATTACTCCACACTTAGGAAGCTATCATGCTGACAAACTATTCCCACAGACAGCCATTTAATACCTTGCAAAGTCTAAATGCCTTTGTGCGTATTCCTGCAACAATAAGTGTTGCAGGAATAAGCATAAGAATAAACTCCAGGACTTTGCCAGGAAGACACACGCTCAAAACAACAGCTATGCTACTGGAGCTGCAAATGTTTTTTCTTTGCACCAGCATTTAACTGATAAGTCTTCAATCCATATTTAGCTCTTTTGGTCTCATCTGAGATTTGAAACTTTGGTATTGTGACTTATCTCAGCTTTTAAACCTATTCATGGTAGAAAAAGAGGGGGGCTGCCAGTTCATTATCCTTTTTAATTGACTTTAAACTGATTTTGTTGTTGTACAGATATCCTTTCACACAAACCCACCAGCACATTCAGAACAGATCCATACACTTTAACACATGTTAAAAAATTATTTTATTTTAACATAGATTGGCTACAACAACACATATAACTGCAGTTCCACTTAGACTTACACCCTAGCAGACACTCCTTTATTTATTTAACTTGTTACAATCATTCTAATATTAAAAAATTGTTATTGGCTAAAAATGTCTCCAGTTGTCAGTTGCTTGTCACATTATTATATGGTTATCCAAATCAATCCTTAACTAATGTGAAGCCAACAGATTTTTGCTCTAGTCCAGGGGTAGGGAACTCCAGGCCTCGAGGGCCGGTGTCCTGCAGGTTTTGGATGTGTCCTGTGATCCAACACAGCTGATTCAAATGGCTAAATGACTTCCTCAACATGTCTTGCAGTTCTCCAGAGGCCTGGTAACGAACTAATCATTTGATTTCAGTGTGTTGACCCAGGGTGAGCTCTAAAACCTGCAGGACACCAGTTCTCGAGGCCTGGAGTCCCCTACCCCTGCTCTAGTCAGTCACTTTTAAAGCCTTCAAAGTGTGGCCAAACCATTATCAGGTATCTTACAGCCATTTCCTAAATTACAGTTTAAACAATATTATATAAAGGAGGGCCTGACACTTTACAGCCTGACACATTGTGCCGAATGCACTGAGGTGTTTTCAGGCATGTTTAAAGGTTTTACAGGATGTTGTCAGAAGCATAAGCCGGTTAAAGTGTTTCGGCCCCAGCCACAGCTCAATCTGAGCCCCCCTCCTCTGCCTGCCTGAGGAGGCTTTAAACTGCAGAGTGGGGGTGACTCACAGCCAGCTGAACCCTGCTCACTGTGCTGAGTGACAGCCAGACAGACAGACACTCAGTCTAATGGAGCATAACTTCATGCTGTCACTCTGTCGCCTCTCTCTACTTACCCTATCATAATTCTGCTGATACTTTTTCCCCGCTATTTGTCTCTTTCAGTTAGAAAGTAACTCAAACTTGTGTTCATGGGGAGGTGAAGTTGTGTTCATGTGCATACCTAACGCAAATGCTATACTTGTGAGGTCTGGGATAATGTTTATGTATAAAAGAGATACACAGGTGTTGATGATCTGTGAAAGGTAGTTATTTATCTTTCATATAGCTGTATGCAGTATAATTCCAGCTGTGTGGATGAAAGTAGAAAGAGGAAAAAAGAAATGCAGAATATGAATATCCCAAAATAAAAAATGTTCAGGGAATGAAGCTGCAGAGTAAATAAAAAAAAGCTTCTCAAACTTTCATTTGTTGTTTTACTCATTGGGAGGTGGATCTTTTCCAGAAAAGGTCAATATTTTAATTGAATGGCTTCCTTTCAGGAAATTCTCCTTTATTATTTATGATGGTGAGAATTTGTTTGTCACTACCATAACATGATAGCCTGTCCTTTATAAGTCTGTTATATACATGTATACATGCGGTTACAGGTTACAAAGAATTGTAACAAAAAGGTAAAACACTGTTGAATGCAAACTCCTTGTAAGACACCGGTGTTGTAATAAACATGAAGTCTTTTCTTTTAACTCAACTCGCTGTTGATATCCTGTCACCTGAGAATAAGCTCTGGGGTTTTATTTTTGTAATTTTCCCCAAATAATGTAAGAGTTAACTATTTTTTGCTGAATGTGTGTAAAACCACAAAGGAAGTCAGCAGGGAGTCAGCTGAGTATTCTGAACTAGTTTTTCTTGTCAAATAAATCCAGGAAGCCTGCGGAAGTGTAGCATTTTAGCTAATAACTTGTTGATAAATGACTATGATAAAAAGTAAAAAAAATAAAATAAAATAAAATAGGAAAATTGCATTTAATTATCAAACTGCAATAAAATTTGGGGAAACCTAACACTTTACAGGTAGCGTAATGCAGCATACATGACTAATCCTCCTTTTTGTAATCAATTCTGTGCAACATCTCAATGGGAAAATCATTCCAACCAATCTCATCACAGAAAGATTAGTAATAACTTGTTGCAGCTTATCAATTGGTTATTTGAAATTGCAAATTTGTACATCAAAAACTGTAATTAACCAGATATCCCTTTTAATCATCATCCTGTATTTTTCTTTCTCTCTACTCTCTTTGTTCAGAGGCTGTGAGAGGCATCCCAGTACCTAGTGGGATGAATGGAAGTGGTGTTGGTGGCATGGTTCCCACCAGCCTCAGCGGGCAGCAGCTGGCCTCTGCCATCCCATCCCCCACAGCTGGCAAGTCCTGGCGCAGCAAGTCCATGAATCTTAAGCACAGCGCAACTTCATCCATGCTGGCAAGCCCTACACACTCCCCTTCTACCACCCCATCACCGCAAGCCCCAGAAGGGGATGGGTCAAAAGTAGGGTCAAGTGTTGCACTGCCTCAGAGGTCAATGCTGGAGAAATTTCGGCTGATTAACCCCCGATCAGCTTCAAGAGCATCACCATCTGTGGTGGAGATGGCTTTGCAGGAGGAAGATGACCTATCAGAGTATGGTGAAGATGGATTGACGCCTACAGGGTCAGCGTGCAGCAGTGTTAGTAGCAGTGCTACAGCCAAACAAATGGCTACAAAGACCCCTGCATCGTCCCTCACCGCACCAAGCAAAACGTCCTCATCTTCACCCTCTTCTTATTCAAAGGCGTCCGCCAGTGGTAGCAGGTCTCAAGCCTCCTCCAAAGACAAGGAGGACAAGAGCAAGTCTGGGAAGTCCTGTAAGGACAGCTCTCCCCCAAAAGAGGAGCGCGACACATTTCCCGAGTCCACAAAGAAGTCCTCAAAAATTGCCAGCCTCATCCCAAAAGGAGGGAAGTCATCGTCAGGGAAGAAAGATGGTGGCACCCCCTCAGCTTCAAGCGGCATCCCAAAGCCAGGACTTAAAGGTCCCTTAGCATCATCAGCAAAGCCGCAAAGTCAGTCCCAGGCCCAAAACCAGGCCGCCTTAAACAGCAGCGGAAATATACGGGGAGGAGAGGGAGAGAGGGCCAAGCTAACCAAAGGGGGGCAAAGTGGGAGTTTCTATATCCAACGCTCCGTAGGGGGCTCAGAGGGCAAACGGACCAGCATGACCTCGTCCACCAGCACCTCAGCCCTGTCTGCGTCCACTGTGGGAGGAAGTGGGGGAGGGGGAGGAACACCAGGAGGAAATGGAGTAGTTCAGCTTCCCCAGCAGCAGCAGCACAACCATCCTAATACAGCTACTGTGGCCCCCTTCATGTACAGGTGAGGCGCGTGTGTGTGTGTTTATTTGTCCTATCGTCATTACTCAAAGGACACCCAGCGAGAGCAACCTGTTGATCCGTTTTTTGCCTGCACACATTCGCACATGCTTACAGTCATTCACACACCCCATGAGATCTTGGAGTTCTCCCAGTGATCAGCTGGAGCCTCCCCACTGTGCGTCTTGCTCTCGCCTCCACATCCCTTCACAGGCATCACTGAACAAATTAACATCCACTCCCTGCTGCTTGCCAAAGCCTATTATTTAACTGTCTGGGTTTCATCTTTGATGTGAGCATCCAGACATTGGCAGTGTTCAAGAACTCATTCCCCTTCTCCTCATTCAGCCAGTGTTGTTAGAGGCATGCATCTGGCACATGGTTTCATGATGTTACAGCAATCAGAGGTGCAGGAAGTGGGTAAATCCCAAAGAAAAAAAATAGTCTCTAGGATGGCTTTGTGTTAGGAGAAAAAGGGAGTTAGGAATCCCATTAAACAAGACTAAATCCTTCACCCTTTCTCTCTCTCTCTGAACTACCTCCTCTGCAGCGCACAGTCAGCTCTGCCACATTCAGCAGTGCCTCTTTCGAGCATTAGCATTCCTTTAATCCCACACATTTAGTGAGCTTCTGCGGCTATCAGTCCTGAGGAGATAATGAGTGATAGTCAGCTCTGAAGCAGGGAACTAAAACTTAAAGTGTGAAAACACAGGCAGCCTACTCAGTGAGCAAAAAGTAAACAGAAGCATTGAGTGTAGTAGAAGTGGATGGACCATCTGTGATGTTACCCAGAGTTTTCTGAGAGAACATTTTAAAGCTTGGACTTCTACTCACTGTTTCTTGCCATCTTGGTCAGTAATTGGAACTAGAAAGTTCAAATTTGGCATCCGTCGCAGCTGCTCCTATATATATCTCTCAGTTGTTAAGAAAGTCTCTTTTTTTTTGGGGGGGGGCACTTTATCAACTTTGCATCTGCAACAATTAACTTTGCAAGAAGTGAATCGTACTTGTTATTAATCTCTGGCTCTCTTCCACAGCATGTCTTTTGTCCTGTCTTCCTTCTCTCACCCCAACCGGTCACGGCAGATGGCCGCCCCTCCCTGAGCCTGGTTCTGCCTGTTAAAAGGGAGTTTTTCCTTCCCACTGTCGCCTAAGTGCTTGCTCATAGGGGGTCATATGATTGTTGGGTTTTTCTCTGTATGTATTATTGTAGGGTCTACCTTACAATATAAAGCGCCTTGAGGCGACTGTTGTTGTGATTTGGCGCTGTATAAATAACATTGAATTGAATTGAATCTGGAGGGTACAAGAGAGATACATTGGAGTGTTTTAATTTGTTTATCATTAGAAACAACAGACATGCAGAGTTAATGGGTTGTCAGAATATCTGTGGTGTTAACGCTGGCCCCCTCCAAAAGTGTTACAGTGAAAGTCACCTGTGCTTTTTTACATAATAGTAGGTATGAAATTGTAGGCCATCCATCCATCCATTTTCTTCTGCTTATCCAGTTCTTCTTGTAGAGGGCAAGAGACGGCGTACACCCTGGAGAATGCTCAATGCCCCACTGCCGTGCTATCCCATCTTTTACACATATTACGTAATAATGTGTCTCAGACTATACTCGGTGTTGAATAAAATTCTCGAGGAACAGTTCATGTGCAGATCTTAACCTTTTTGCTGTGTTCTAAGATATATCCTTCCGTTCATATATCTGCGGCTTCCATCTTCATGTTCTTCCTCATCCAAAGCCGTCACCATGCATAAAGGCCCCCTCCTGTGCTGCCAGCATTTTTGCCACAATTAGGCATCCTTGTCTCATTTGGATTCTTTCTCCCTGCCCACTTAAAGTTGTTGTATCTTCCAAGCTTAACAGACCACTTTTGTGTGCAGAAATAATTTTTTTCCCATTCTCTTTCTCATGCACTCACAGTTGCACCACAGAGAAATGTAGTTTGCAATGCCCGTTCTCATCCTATGCTTCCATAACCTAGGTTGACCGGACAATTTTTACAGGGGGCGATTAAAAATACAAAAATTGTTGGTGCAGTTAATATTTTTTTTCAAAGTTCCGCAGCTTCAATCACATTTCTTTACATGACCAGCAGTAAATCTTCTTTTTTAAAGCAGCAGAGTCAAATATCTTATTACTGCGCACCCCCCCCCATATCTATTCTCTTATTTTTTGGGTGATACTGTGCCATACAGCAATGGTAGTGAATATCTGTGTCTCCGTCTTTGTGAATCCACTGAGGTGAGGGAAGCTTGCAGGAAGAAGAAAAGCTTTTTCACATGAACTGAAGTCACAGGCGAATGCTGTTGTCACAATTGGAAGCCAATTTTTATCTGCAGCTCTGCAGGTGGTGGTCGTCCCTGGTGTGTGTCTGCGCGCGTGTGTATGTATTGGAAGAAATGCATGGTGTTCAGTAGCTTGTGCTTAGTTCTCTGCCTGCCTGTTTTTTGTTTTCTCAGTTTGTAATGCAGTTTTACTGTGTGCATTTCGGAATTTTGTGTGTGGTTTAAAGTGTTAGTTTGTATGTGTTTCACTGTTTGTGTGTTCCTGCGTGAGAGGGCTTTCTGTTGGGTTTGCGTGTCAGCTGTATAACTGTGTCGTTCTGTGCCTTTAGTCTGTTTTTGCATGGTTTTGTGGCATTTTCATTGTTCAAAGTTTGTATGTACATGTAAGACTGTTATCTTATGAGGAGTGTTGGACTCCACCTTTGTTTCTTTAAATCGGCAAACAAACAGTGTGAGGTAGCTCAGGCTGGTGGAGAGGAAGCACACAGCAAATTTAGTTAAATCCATCCCTCCATGACTGCAGTGCCTTTAATTCAGGTTAGACTGAAATATCTGATAAACCTATCTTCTTAACTGCTGTGTGTTATTTGTTCTTTGTGCCTTTAGGACATTCTCAGAAAATGACTGCACCATGGTGGCCCCAGCCGACCCCTGCCTCAGCCCCACCAAGGGAGAGCTAGTCTACAGCAAGACAGCCAAACAGTGCCTGGAGGAGATATCAGGTATGCACCAGGTCACCACACAGATGTGGGCTCCGCTTGGAGGATATTTCTCAGTGTGGGTGTGAGAATGTGCATAAGTATCTGTGCATTATGATCTGTCCCTGTAGATAAATAATTCTACTGCAGTGGTCTGCTACATGCTAAAGGAACTGATTTAAAATGACATTTTCCTTCATTAAACGATTGGAACAAAATGTGTTAGCTTAGGTAGAGACTCTTGGTACAATATGGATTAGCTGTCCACACTGATATTTGTCAGAGACGAGGTTAATGGAGTATAGGTGGAAAAGTAGCTGCAGGATCAGAGAGCCTTTTGAAAGCTGCTGCTGTGGCCAACTCAGTGTACTGGTATTATGCAGCTGGTGTGTGAATGTGCTAAAGTGAGTCTGTTTGTACTTACTGGGAGGGTTCCTGTTCTGGGCTGGTTTCATGTAGGGAAAGGAAAAGGTCAGCAGTGACAGCTGGACACGGGGAGCATCTGCAGCTATGTTTACTTCGCCCCAGGCTGCCACCAGCTGATATAATCGCATTGCTGCACCACCACCAGTCACCATGATACATACATGTACATGGTTTATCATTGCCAGTCTCCGAGTATTTATCAAAAACATTGACAAGATCGGTATGGCTGTATGTAAAGCTTCACACATAACACATATACACACATAAAGTGGAGCTGTAGGTTGTCTTCATTTTGGAATTACAGTACTGTGGCGTTTTTCTGCATCTGAGAGTTCAGGACTGAGGGACATTTGACCAGTTTTAAAGGAGTTTCTAACCACAAAAGCCCAGACAGGAGAAGGATGAGAGGTTAAAGCAGGCACCAGACCATCAAAACACAAACTGCTGGCACAGACAAATCTCTTTGTTTCAGTTGCATTTTACCAGTTCCAAATGAAGAGGTCACTGTGACAGCTCTTTCGTCCTTTATAGCTCTTTGGTCTGCCTTCAGTTCAGAGGTTACATCTGTGGTAGATGTGTCCTCTCTCCTTTTTCTTTAGCGTCATAATCTTTTCATCACTGATTTTATCGCAGAGGATCCTTTGAGACTTTTTGGGTTTTCCATTTTAGAACAGGTCACTTGATTCAGATGGTGATGTCTTCATTTAAAATCAAACTTCTTAATTCAGACGTCAAGTTCAAAGTGAAGCCAGAAGACCAGCATACACAAACAACAGCATGTGATTATAGGTTTGGGGATGTCATGTCGGCAGCAACATTCCAGACATTTTGCTTTGGTCGCGGCTTTTCCAAAGCCCGTGATTTCAAGGATAAAATTAGACTGCGGTGCTGACCGTTCTCTTTGTTTGGGGTCCATTGCAAACACTTGCTTTTTAATGTCACTCGCTTCATGGTCATTGCAGTCTTCATTCTTCCTGCTCTTCAGTAGAGAGACAGGAATGAGTCTCTGAGAAGGAAATTCAAGTGTATGCATACCACAAATGCCACATGACAAGACTTCTCATATACATTTACATATACAGACTGAACCAGTGTCAGTAAGACCAGTTTTAAAACATCAAAGCAGCACTCTATATAAACTCTTTATTCATACGTTGAGTTAAGCTTGAGCTTGAAAGTGTCACCGTTTATTTGTCTTCATCTGTTCATCTTTTATTCATGATAAAACATCAGTTTGCGATGAAGTACCTCATAGGGCATGATGATTAGGATCACCTTGATTATGTTTTCTGAGGCAACTGCTTCCAGGGTCCTCCAGCAGTTAGTAGTCACGATTAGAGAATGCTGTGGTAGACAGCTGTGACTAATAGAGACAGTGCTAATAATGCTCCCAGTGATTGATGGGAATATGTTGGCTCGGTGATCTCATTGTTGATTCGCGATAAGCTGCAGGCTTGCTGCTTTAGCTCCTCAAGATAGCATTTAATTAAGTTTGGGTGGTCAGAGTGGTGCAGCGGGGGCTGCAAGCTTACAGGTGCACTGTCCAAGCAACTCATTGTCACATTGTGAGGGAGAGAGATGGAGAGACACTGAGAAAGAGGGGGAAGGGAGGCATACAGGAAGAGGGCTAGTAAGAGCAGAACAGAAAGAGAGAGATTAGGTGAAAGAGAGGGTGATAAACACAGAGGGGGGAGAGAATGTGAGAAAGGAGAGAGTGAGTGAGAGAGCGAGAGAGAGAGATGCAGGCGCTCCGAGAGCTATGTGAGCCCATTTGCCGGCTTCACCACCGTTCACTCTCCGCTGTGAGGAGAGAGGAACCGTCAGAGAGGAGGCAGGAGGAGCGTAGCTGTCAGGTGGTAATTAAAGGAGAGACAGAAGGTAGGGGGAGATAGATAAGAGTGAATGAAAAGACACTGCCATTTAATAGGGGGAAAAGATAAAGAGAGCGCAAGAGGAAGAGAGAATGTGTGAGGAGCGAGAGATGTAGCGAGTCGTTCATCCACGCCCCTGACTGTGGTGAAGCAGGAGAAAGGAGCCAAGAAGACAGAGAGACAGCATGCGGACAGGGAAGGAGTGGAAGAAATGAATGTTTGTGTCTGGCTCGGCGCCTGACCATGACCATGGGCTGGCTTAATGATGGATCTGGATTTTACCTACATGCTTGAGAAGGTGGTTTTCTCTCCATTCTACTCCCTCTGCTCGCTTTCCCTCCAGCCCACTGAAGCCTGGACATCAGTCGGGAGACGCAGGACCTGGGGCTCCATCTCTTATGCTTCCTCTGCTTTCTTTGCGCTCCTTGCTTCCATCTGCTTTCTCAGTTTTAGTGCAGTCAAGATGTGAAACAGAGTGCCATGCACAGGTAGATCCACTTGCATGTATAGTTTCAGTCTCTGAGCTGCCAGCGGTAAAGAGGTTAGTTGAAAAGGAGAGAGGATGAAGAGAGGAGCGGAGTTCTCGGTTTATCAGGGCGGCAGCCCAGCTCGACGGCCTCCGCAGCCTCTCCCTGACAACCTCAACCTGCGGATCAAGCAGCGCTCGCTTACTAACCTGACCCTGCTCAGTGATGGCGAACAGCAGGTTTACACCTTTGAGCTCGACGAGCTGCCGCCGTCTCGCCTTTCCCAACCTCAAAACTCTTCATTGTACTCATCTTCCACACAACGGGCAGGAGGCAGTCTGCAGGGAAGCCCCAGGAAGGATGTGGTCACAAGAGGCGGAGGTGTAAGGGGCACCAGAGCTCGATCTCTGTCGCTCTCCCTCACTAAAGTGCTCTCTCAGTCAGAGCATTCTCTCATTCCAGTCCCTTGGCGATGCACAGCAGCAGGAGGGCGGCCACAGCGGGCATCATACAGTGGCCACCCGAGGATTGAGGCACAGCGGAGGTCCAGAGAGGTGGCAGGAACAGATGAAGAGGTCAGCAGGGGGCGGTCCGATGAGGAGGTGGCAGCAGCAGACAAGGGAGGTGGGAAACAGGGAGGCAGGGAGAAAGATGGCGGATATTGGGCGGAGGAGGAGGTTTCTGAGGGAGGTCCTCGTGAAGGAACAGCTCAGCTTGATAAGGAGGTGATCCTCACCATGCTGGGTGACCTGGAGCAGGTGCTGCACGCACAGCCTCGCCCACGTAAGTGAGCATTCATTCTCATATAAAGCCTAGAAAGGACTTTAAAAGTGTTGTTTTTTTATTACATATTACACACGTGATCACACACGTCAATCAGCAGCTTTAAAAAACAATTTCTATTCATTTAAAATCTTGCTTTTTAAAGAAACAAACTGAGAAGCAAAGTAGCTCTGATAGGATGGTTATTTTCATAACCTTCATGATGAGTCAAGCTGTCCTTCTCTGAATAGATGGCATTTGCTGTTTTTTTTGCAAATTTGCATTATAGTATTTATTTTCGTTTTTCCTGCAGTATATAAAAATCATCTCACCTGTATCTCAATAATAAAGCTATGAAGACACTTAAAATAAATTTCCTGTTGTTGGAAACTGTTTTGTGCAACCTTTTTGTATTTACAGTTTTGAGGGATAAGCCTCTTGCATTTCTCTAACTAGAAATATATGTAAAAAAGAAACCAAAAACGAATTTAAATTTTTGTAGTTATTATTGACTTAATGCATACATATTATTAAAATTTGGGCTATAACGGTTGTATTGATGTATAGCAACTTGAAATGCTCCCAAAAATGGCTCCACAGCATGTAAAAATATAAAGACAAGCTCTGGTGGACTTGGTTCTATGGTAGGTCTTAAAGGGTTAAGGCATTGTTTTGCAAGAACATGCTCTTGAAGAACACTTTGCTTCCTGTAGTCCATACCTTTACACTCACAGATATGTTGCATTCTCACCTAAAAGATCTGCACAGCAGCAGTAGTTTATTTCCTAGATATTACACATCCTATTTTTCACCTGCATTCACTCTGTCACAGTCTGCAAATGAGGCACTTTGTTGAGCATGCAGCTTTAAGTGGTTTAATGTAAATCTCAGCTGATGGAGTCTAACCTGGTACTGTGCTATACCTTGGCACCAGCTCTGTTAATATATGTCAAATTTTCCAGTGTACACACCATCTGCCATCTTCCCATGTGGAACGATGTGCACAAACTTGGCTTTAACGTGAGAGAAACACAGGAGTCATTAAGAAGGATTTCTGAAAAGTGATATGAGTCAATCAAAGAAAATGTTAGTTTTGAATCTGAAATTATGAAACTGACAATTATGAAACTTTTTGTTTGTGTATTTCTTTATTTTTTTCTTTTGCATACCATGTCAAACTTTTCTGTATATACTCATGTCGTAGATTTAGGAGCAACCAAGTAATTGTTAACATTTTATTTTTTATTTTAACAATCATCAACTTCATACACAGGGTTTGTAGGGGTGCTTGAAATCCTTGAAAATGTTTGGATTTTAATATTGCCTTTTCAAGGTTTGAAAAGTGCTTGGATTTTGGATTTGGTGCTTAAAAGTGCTAGAAACTGTAACCACAAATAACTATTTGATTGAATAGTTTTCTTATCAGATTGTCACAAAGTATAAAAGCAAAATTTCTCCGCCTGGGCTGCCTTGCACCTCTACGTGTCAGTCTGTTTCA